GACTTCAGACAGTTGTGCATAGAAGAAAGCAATCAGACTTACTGGAATAGTTACCTATCCCATGTTTCAGTGGGAAGTGAACTACACATTGAGATGCTGACAGAAAACTGCCTCTTAAAGTAGGAACAACTGAACCCTCAATAAGCAAACAGACTGAAAGGGACCAAGCAGCCCACTACAATAGCAAGTTACACTAAGAGTTGGAACACTAACACCTGTAAGAGGTTACATAGTTTTCAGTGGGGCGGGTTGGGATGGGTGATCTCATTGTTACATATAGCAATTTTTGATGCATTTTTATATGCATACCAGCAATTATTACTGTGTTTGCACAGTGCTCACTTAACTGGTGCTATGTGAAGACTGCTAATATAGGTATTCTAGAATGTGAACTGAGTGGATCCAAAAGCTCCAAAAGAGGGTAACAAAAAGATGTAGTGCGTTTCTTGTTTTATTTTTTGTTTTTGAATATATATATATATATATCATATAGCTTAAGCTGTTTTAAAACAAAGGCCTTAGACTAATTTTTGGTTTTCTTCCTTGAAATAAGCTAATGGCTTGTTTGTGTAAAGCTTTTTTATTAAAGAAAAAAAATTTTAAATCTTGTACCTAGCACAGTATTGTTATAGAATTTACATGTAACCTTTTATATGGTAGTTTAAGTCTGTTGGTTTCTTAATTGTGAGGAAATTTACTGTAACATACCTGCGTCACTCAAGTCGGCCCTGGCGTCTCGCAGACACATCAGCATCAGTTCTCATGTGGTTTGGAAATTCAGGCTCAGCATGAACTCGTCAGGTAGCTCTGATACCTGCTGTTTGTTTTCTTTCTCATTCTTGTTCCTTCTTTCCTCCTTTTTTTTTCCTCCTTTTTTTCTCTTTTAGTTGATGTTTAAGAGGGAAAGTACCAGTGTTCAGATTTGAACTTTAATAGTTTGTATATTCAACATTTGAAGTATATTCTATTTTGTTGTACTCTTGTTTCAAAGTGTATTCAAGTAGGTTTTCTGAAATATAGAAGTGAAATTTATCTTGTGGTTTTGGTCTCTGGTGGTATTTTTCACAATACTCTAAAGCCAGTAGTATAGGGTGTCGTTTTGGTTAAGCAATAGAAGTCTCGGGTTTTCTTAATTACTTCAGAAGAAATGCTACTCTGGTGTTGTCCCATTATACGAATATTTGGCAGCTACTCACACATTTCCATTTCCTTTATAACTATAATCGCCTACTCACTTAACGGATTTATATACGTGAAGCACTTTCAGCTAGTGGTAGGCTGCTTGCCTGGCATGTGCAGGCCCCTGATTTGTCCTAGCACCTTACTTGCACACCAAGTCACTTTCAGTTATCCCATGTTTCCACCAGTCCTCCTTATGGGTAGAAAGTAATGGTCCAGCCTTTGCAGATGAAGGCTGAAGCCCAGAAATCATACAAATTACTTAATGTAACACGTAATTAGGTCCTTCTCTGACATATTAGTTGTCTTTTTAGAAATTTAGATGAAGTTTCAATATTTTTTGGCCTTTGTATATTTAACACGATGCTACTTATATCAGCAAAGATTTTTATAAAAGTTCCCTTTCTAGCTTTTTTTTTTTTTTAACTAAACCGATTTAAAGAATTGATGTGTATGGGTGTTTTTCTGCATGTATGACTGTATACATTTAACGCTGTCCTGATGCCCCAGGAGACCAGAAGAGGGTGTCGAATCCAGTGCAACTGGCGTTAGGGACAGTTTTGAGCTGCCCTTTGGGCTTTAACCTCTCTGGAAGAGCAGCACCACTGTTGAGCCATCTCTCCTGGCCACATCCCTTTTCTAACCCACAAGCTTACCTAATGGGACTTTTAAAAATACGAGTCTACGTTGGTTCTTTTTTTACCCCCATTGAGATTTAACCTCAAAACCTACCTACCTCTTAGAACATCTCCTAAATAGTCCATCTTTCTAAATCAAGACCGCAGTTAACTTTTGGTCAAATCTTCTATAAAACTCATTTTTCAAAAGGCTGTATATGATTGGACCCAAGTCCTGAGCTGCACATAGCAGCCACAGATTTTTTTTTTTTTTTTTTTTTTTTTTTTTTGGTTTTTCGAGACAGGGTTCTCTGTGGCTTTGGAGCCTGTCCTGGCACTAGCTCTGTAGACCAGGCTGGTCCCGAACTCACAGAGATCCACCTGCCTCTGCCTCCCGAGTGCTGGGATTTAAAGGCGTGCGCCACCATCGCCCGGCAGCATCCACAGGTTTTGATTACCTTTGCTAAGAGTCTTAACAGCTCAGTTGTAATAGATAATTTCTTACATGTTTTATTAGTTGGTTTGAACTTCATTCTAAAAGCAACAGAAAGTTTCAGATATGCATCTAAAACCTAAACTTGCAAATGTAACTCCAGCTTCTGAACCCGGTCTTTCTGAGCTCTAATTCAATATGAGTTACACTTTTGTGTTCAGTGCTTCTGGAGAAAAGCCACAGAAACCATGGCTTGGTGCCGTCGCATCTTCCAGTCTTCGCAGTGCGATGGGCAGCCTGTGTTTATCCTTAGATCCAAACTTCAGTCACCACCGTTCTCTGCACATGACCAAAAGTATCTACCGAGACCCCTTGGCTGGACCCTTGGCTACAAGAGAATCTCAATTCTGCAGACACTGTTGTCAGATTCAGGAAGGAGGTATCTCTTGTGCATAAGCACCGCTTTCCCTTCACACACCCTTGGTCCAGTTAACAGCTGGTCATTCAGTATTTCTCCATCAGACCATTTATTTTTGAATGGGGAGCCTGCAGTGCTCACTCAAGTTCACCAATAGCCCAGTTTCCAAATCAAGCATAATTAATTTGAAAGATCACAGGACCTTTAGAAATCAGTTACTCTTTCCATCATGTGGGTTCTCAAGTCATGAGGTTTTGTCATAAGCACCTTTAGTTTATTGAGCCATCTCAACAGCTCCGATACATCCTTTTTGATGTATTTTTATGTGTCTGCTCCCATGTATGTATGTGCAGACCCGAAGAGGAGTTGGAACCCCTGGCTGGCGTTACAGCTGAGCTGCCATGTAGCTTCTGGGAATCAAACCTGGGTCCTCTGCAATAGCAGCAAATGCTCTTAACCCAGGAGCCTTCTGTCCAGCCCTTTACTTCAACCCACTTGTCCCCATCTCCTCTTGTGCCTCAGTTGTTTTTTGTTGTTGTTGTTGTACTAAGGTTGTCTCTGTAGGGCTTATCAGAGTTATAGGAATGGAAGGAGTTTAAGTCTGATGGACAAGCTGACACTATTGAATGTTTACTAAGATTCATTATAACAGCCGTTCTTCAGATAGCTGACATGTTTTTTGTTTTTTTTGTTTTTTTTTTTTTGGTCTAGACTAGAACTTGACTCTTAGATCACACTCATTGCCACACCAGTTCTTCCTGAGTGCTGGATTCAACTGTTCCCTGTAGTACTACTAATAGGCCCTAGCGTCTACAAGGGGTCTGTAGGCTGTCTCCTACATTCCATTCACATCCTTCATTCTCCAGGTCCTAATGGTCCTATCTTCTGTATGGATGCCTTACCTCCCATAAGTTTCAGGCTGTCACATTACCTTCTTGTCTCAGTCTCTGGAATGCTGAGACTTCGGGAAGCTAGAGTAGAGGTCAACCTGGGCTAAAATGGACCAAAAGCCAAAAATGTGGATTGGATTTCATTACACCGTTGTGGTTACTGTAAACTCAATGGCATCTTAACTTGAATTGCCCACTCACCCAAGTTCTTTGCTAGTGTCCCAGGTACACCTTTCCTAAGCCGTTCTACCATGGCCTCTCCTCTTGCACCTAGTTTTTAAAGTTCTATTCTGCCTGAGGCTCCTTGAGAAGGTAGAAGGAACAGAAGTGTTCAGGAGATGAAATGACTTCATTGGGACAGCGAGACAGGAGCACTGCAGCAAACTTGGGGTCGCCTTGGGCTACACAGGTAGTGCCGAACCAGCCTGGGCTTCAAAGCAAGTGTCTCAAAAAAGGCAGAGCTAAGGGAAAGAGTAGAAAGCAAATAGGCCAGATAGAAGGGGTAGGACACAAGATGTCACTAGGGTCTGAGCCTCTCACAATGCAGATCTCTGCTGAACAACTATGTCACGCCCCACCTCGACCAGCAAGGATGAGGTGCGACACACCGGAGCTCTTCTCACTGCAGTTTATTCCAGGACTTTATTCACTTTCTCTCTCCCCTGTCAAACCTCTCCCAGCCCTTAAAAAGGCATGGGCTACCAACCCCGGACTGCCAGGTGGGCACTGCCCATAGGCCCGCGCATATGCAAGCAGCTGATGATCATTGCGTGATAATAGCATAAGTCAGGTCTTAGCCATAATTAGGAGCTGATCATCAGATGTGGCTCCACGCAGCTTGCCACACAACTACTTAGTTTGGCTTTGAAAACAGGGTTTCAGATATCCTAGGCTGGCCTTGAACTTGCTTTGTAGTTGAGAAGGATCCTGAGCTCCCGATCCTACCCTACTTTCCCAGGGTGCTACCTTGTCCTGGGTGGTTCCTTCCAGGTGCTGGGAATCAGGGTGGAGCCTAGACCGCCACTCCCAGCTTCTAAACTGCCTTGAACTATTTATTATTCAGTTACTCCAAGTCTTCTGTGGTTGTGACTTTGACTGTGTCCCCAGTAACCAACATCACATTCCATAGGAACTTCAGAGACAGCAGAGTCAGGCCTTGGTGAGTATCAGTGTGCCCCCAAATATCTGAAGCACTCTAGCACATTGGGGAGACTCCCCCGACCGCTGTATCACTATTTGTGAACCTGGAGGTTGAAGGCAGCGGTAAGCCATTTTGGAGGACTCTGTCCTTGCACTAAGATTCCAAAAGCTTGAATGTGTAGCTACTTCTGCTAAGTGTCAAAATGAAAATTTAGTGTGGATAATGTCTGAACCACATACTATTATGATACAGACTCCCAGATTCCGTTTGGACAAAAACCAAACCAAAACACAAACACACACAAAACCAAGATTAAAAGCACTGTTATAAATTCATTTATTAATCTTAAATAATATTTAGAACTCATACATTAAAACATTTGACATTTTATCACCAGTTACTTTTAGGAGAGGCTGCAACAATCGGAAGAGAACTACAGGTTAACGTTTCTGCTCTTAAATTCTTTGAGAAATTTCGAGCCCCATCATTTTGGCTGTCTTGGGATTTTTTTTGAAAAAGGGTCTTCGCCAGGCAGTGGTGGCTCATGCCTTTAATCCCAGCACTCGGGAGGCAGAGGCAGGCGGATCTCTGTGAGTTCGAGGCTAGCCTGGTCTCCAAGAGCTAGTTCCAGGACAGGCTCCAAAGCTACAGAGAAACCCTGTCTTGAAAAACCAAAGAGAAAAGAAAAAAGAAAAAGGGTCTTGATATGAGCCCAAGCTGGTCTCCAATACAGAGATTTTGATCACACAAATGGGCTTTCTGGAGTTCTCGTCTCAGAAGGAATTCTCACTATTATTCTTAGTCACCGGTCCAGGACTGTTCCTAAAGCTACTTGTCAAAAGAAGTCATGGAGTAGTCTTCGCATGGGTGCCAATGCCATACAACAGAAAGTACAAATGCTTTATTTAACTATGACTAGATGGTAAAAACTAATTGAAAATGAACTGGCATTTCTTCAAGAAACACAACGGTAAATTGGAGGCATAGCAAACAGCAAGGATTATCTGAAGATTGTCACAAATCCTTCAGGGCTAAATATAGTTCCTTAGTGTTAGATCACCAAATAAAAACAATTGGAAGTTTTAAGGAAATTATGTCTATTCCTGCTTCTACAATGCTATATAATCCACTTAATTTTACATGAAGATATAAAAAATAAATATTGCCATGCATTTCTTGCTGACATTTTAAATTCCCACAAATAAATAATGAAATACTCTCTAGAAAACTTTCTACATTTTACATTGTACTTACTGAGGGGCTTACAAATTGAGGTTTTTATAGCACCCTCAAGTTAAAAAAACAAAAACCAAAAAACTTACAAGAAGTCTAATTTTAATGCCCTTAAGTAGTGAAGAATGTTATAGAAAATTAATACACAAGCCCAAACTGGAGTGCAAACACCTTTTCACTGCAGGTTTTAATCGGAAAGGTTTGTGAACAAATTCTTTTCCAAGGGCATGCTGGAAACGATGGAGAAGGAAGTGGCAGAAACTGGGTGTCCTTTTTCAGGCAACTTATCATATTTCAGTTTCCCAAAACATCCCTGGTTAAGACTCTTATGATTAGAGTGATACAGTGTTTATAAGAGTTCCTCAGGCTCCTCATTAAAGCTGAAGTCACACACCAGTGACAGGTGGTCTGAGGGGTAGTGAAAGGACGGGAGCCGGCTGGGCCCAATCTGTTCTTCCGTGAGTAGTTCCAAAGCAGAGGTGACGTTCAGAGCTTGTCTGGAGTACCAGATGTAGTCCAGGGTGTGGCGACACTCCCCTGAGGTCCGGATCTTCCAGGTTGTGTATGGAGGCTCCGACTGTCCGTCAGGACTCAGCAGCTTGTAGGCGCTGTTGAGATTGAGGCTGGAGGAAGCGAAGTGTTTGTAGACTTCCTCAGTGGGCTCTGCATTGAAGTCCCCACAGACAATCAGGGGAATCTTGGCTCCCTGTGTGATGCCCTGCAGGTTCTGGAGAAGGTCACAGCCCTGAGCTGACCTGAACCGCTCCCAGCCCGTGCGTGCTTTTAAGTGGGTGACAGCAACACAGAATTGTCTGCCGGATTCCTTGCACTCTAGGGTCTGTGCAATGGCAACCTGGTTGGTTTTTAGGGTCATGGCTGTCAGCCTGATATTGGTGCTGTTGATGAGCTTGAAACGGTTTTGGAGGAAAAATAAAGCACAGCCATCTGGTCCGTTGTTGTGTTCAACATCAAGACATGGTGACCAGGGCTTGGGGAAAAATGTGCCTTGGTAGCCCAGTCTACTGAGGAGTGGTTGGAAGGTGTCAAAATAGTGGTCCACTTCTTGGAGGCACAATATATCTGGTTGGTAGGCCAAGAATTCCTCCAGAATAAGGCATTTCCTTTCTTCCCACTTGAGTGCTTCAACGGGGCACTGTACAAAGTTGTCTTTGCCTTCTCCAAGAGCTGAAAAGAAAAGCCAAGCATTTGTCAGCTACCACAGAACCACACCCTCAAAGAAAATGGGAGCCTGGTATAGTAAGAGTACTGGGAAGGCAGATTTCCATGAGTTTGAGGCCACTGGGGGCTATGTTATTGAGCGCCAGCCCAGCTAAGGCTACATTCTGAGACAGTCTCACAAAGGAACAAACCTACGAATGCAATAAAGCTCAGGAGCAGAGGCCTGCGGGTCTATATCTGCCTAGAGGCTGGGCAGTTCTAAGCTGTGTCAACCCACTCAGACAAAATAACCTCAGATCATCTGCTGAAATAGGCAGCACTATCTATCTATCTATCTATCTATCTATCTATCTATCTATCTATCTATCTATCTATCTACACACACACTAAAACTATTTTCATATAACTGTATTCTAGGATTAAGACCTTTGCCTTGGGGTTTAGAGAAACTTTGTTGTCCTGGGAATATAAAAGTGTGTCAATTTAAATAAACACTAGCTTTAACACTGCCGATAAGAAAGCCAAGGTAACTGATATAAATAGATACTATTCAGAATGAATGGGACAAACGAATAGCTTTTTCTCCTTATGAATGATGGGCACATGACTGTACAGGCGCCCGGGTTGGTGGGGTGGAAGTGGGCAGATATGAACAAGTATATGGTATGTGCATGAAATTGTCAAGAACAAAAATACTTTAAAAAGATTGGTAAGTCAGATACATAAACACATGAAAATGTCTTTTAGTTAGTGCTAAGGGAGTTGGCCAAATGGTATCGCGTCACTCCACAGCCTAGGTGGCAGTCATCACGGCTCAGCCTTTTGACTGCTGGGATCATAAACCCTCATGGACTGCCAAGGCTGATCTCACTCCTGCTTTACACAGCCCATACTACCCATTCAGTTTGTCCCCTGTAAATGCTGTCATGGTGCTATGGACCCAAGTTTCAGCCACAGAAGGTCTGAGGTGTTGAAAATATACCTCCACCCTCCCCCATTTCGTCCCTTCATATAGCACACGGGGAATGCACAGGAGCAGAAAGGCCTCAGCAGTCAGGCACAGCAGCCCCAGGCATACCTTGTGCAAGGATGTTCCACTGCATGACTCTAATGGGAGGGTAGCTACTCAGGCAATCTGTCCTTATGCCCACAAAACACCTCTGGTACCGGGGTGGCCGAGTGTGCAAAACAGCCCTGCATTCCTCAAGAAGTTCCTTAGGATCGATGGGTTCCAGATGTTCTGGGTCAGCCGACACCAAATACTCGGGGTGCTGAGCGGCTGCACTGCTGCTGAGTGTCTTGGAGAGAGCACTATAGAGTCTACTCGTGCCGTTTCCCATGGAACTCACTGCGGGAAGGAAGCAGACGTACAGAAAGTTGTCAGCATACACTGTGGATATTGGGGTTCCTAGGCTCCAGCTTCCCACCAGGACAGGTAATTCAAGTATTGCGTTAACCAATCTCTTAACAAAACTAATAAACCTGTTTACCTAACCTCGGTGACCTCTTCTAGTTGTCTTTATACCCACCCATTCTAACAAAATATTTGCTCTCCTCCTTCCTTTTTTAAAAATCTGTGTTTCTTTGTGTAGCTCCAGCTGTCCTGGAACTTGCTTTGTAGACCAGGCTGACCTCGAACTCAGGGATCCACCTGCTTCTGCCTCTCAAGTGCTAGGATTAAAGTATAACCACCACATCTGGACCCAAGTTTAGTTTTTGAAGGCTGCAATGTAGAAAGCTGTAGCCCTGGTGCAATGTTGGTACAGATCGCCCTGGTTTCACGTTAAGTGTCCATCGGGGCCAGTCTCTTGGAGACTCCTGTGGTTAGAACTGAACATGTACTCTTCAAAATATCCAGGGTGCAATCTGGGAAACACGGAGGAGATGCCCGAGTTCTGCTCAGCTCAGCTGGTTTCCATCTAAGCTTTCTTTTCCTGACTGCCTGCGTTTCCTAGACCCTAAAGACAGAACACATGCCCAGGGAGCAGCAGTGTCTGGAAAGACATGAGTGCTCACCAATGCTTAGGTTTTCAATTTGGGGTGGGTTGTGCGTGTGCGCGCGCGTGCGTGCGTGTGTGTGTGTGTGTGTGTGTGTGTGTGTGTGTGTGTGTGTATCTGCTGATCCGAATGCAGATTTGTCCTTCAGAGGCGCATGTTTTTGAACACTTGGTTCCAGGCTGCTGGTGCTCTTTGGGAAGGTGGTTTTATAGCCATTCTGTTTCCTGTGTGTGGATGAAATGATCAGCCAGCTTCCAGCTCTTTCCTTGCTCTCTCTGTCATGTTGGGCTCTTTCCCTCTGGAACTGGAAGAAAATAAACCCCTTCTTCAGTTGCTTCCACCTGGGGATTCTATCACACAAATGGGGGGTGTGGTGGTGACAACAGACACTCCTTTTGGTGGCAGTGCGAGGGGAGGAGCGAGAGCATAAGACAAGAAGTTATTTTGAAAATTTTTTCCTAAAAAGGAGAGAAATATCCAAGTAGCATTTTGTTTTTGAGATAGACTGTTAACGAAGTGTATTATTGCTGGCTTCTGGACCACAGCTGAGGCGGCTTATAAAAACCCCACTCTTTTCCAGGACACTGAAGACTCTGACAAAGTATGAAAACCAGTTACCTAGCCGGGCAATGATGGCGCACGCCTTTAATCCTAGCATTCGGGAGGCTGAGGCAGGTGGAACTCTGTGAGTTCAAGGCCAGCCTGGTCTACAAGAGCTAGTTCCAGGACAGGCTCCAGAGCAACAGCGAGAAACCCTGTCTTGAAACCCCCCACGCCCCAGAAAAGAAAACCAGTTATTCTGATGTTCATTATGAATTATATTATTTCTATGTGTGGCTAACTATCTGAAAAGCGCCTTGATGGGGCTTACATATATGTAAATTAAATATAGGCTTACTATTCAGCCAGGAGTTCACACCTCTAGGTATTTACTTAATTAAAACTAACATCCATTTGAAAATACTCACTGTTAGCAACCATGATGCCCTTCAGTATGTGAACAGTTAAACAAGGGTAGAATGCATAGCATTGGGTAGAAAGAACATGAGCTGACCAGCTATCTCTCAGTGGAAGAGGCCAGGCTCTACCCGCTAGACTGTTCATTCCCCTGGGGAGCACAGGGAACTCTGGAGAATGGTGTGTGTGCACATGGTTTGTGCTCTGGATGAGAATGGAACAAAGCTGTTTGAATACTAGCTTCCCAGTTGGTGGAAATGAAGTACAGCCTTGTGTGGAAGAGGTGTCATTGGGGGCGGGGCTTTGATGTTTGGGGGGAAAAAATCCCAGTGTGCCCTGTCTGCCTTTGCTTGAGGTTTTGAATTCTCAGCTGTTCTGCCACCATGCCTTCGCTCCATGCCCATGAATTCTTCTAGTCCTTTGAAACTGTAAACCCAGTTAAACACTTTGTTTTTCATAAGTTGCTTTGGTCATGGTGTTCTATCATGGTCATAAAAAAGGAACCAAGAAAGACTACAGAGAAACACTGTCTGGAAAAGAAAAAAAAAAAAAGGAAGGAAGGAACCCAAGAAAGTTATACATATACAGGAGCAGCCATAAAGAACGAATCTGATACCTGTAAACCTAAATATTAACTGGAGGTTGGAGATGCCCGGAGTGTCTCAACAGAGGAATCTGTGGATGTTGTGATCTACATATCTTTGGAAAGCAATGATTCAACAGCAAAGTACAGGGATTAAACTAACCACACTATGCTCTACTTGGTAAAGTCCGTTCTCAAAGGGCAGGGCCTAACAATACAGAAACCGCGGGCCATCTCTTGGTAAAATTATGGTGGTCAAAAATGAACAACAGGGCTGGGCGGTGGTGGCACACATCTTTAATCCCAGCACTCAGGAGGCAGAGGCAGGCAAATCCCTGGGAATTTGAGGCCAGGGTGGTCTACAAGAGCTGGTTTCCGGTCAGCTAGGACTGCTACACAGGGAAACCCTGTCTCGAAAAACCAAAAAAAGTGAACAGGCAAGTTTGACAGTTCACCTCAGCTCCTAAGTTGGCTTACCATGAACAGAAAATGCCATCAACTGGTGCAATGGAGATCCAGCCTAACTTTAAGAAGCCCGTTGCCATGGGTAACCCAACAGCACCATTCCTTGCAACAAATAAGCATCTGACCACATCACACCTCACGCAGCACGTCTCTAGCCCTACACATCAACACAAGGAATGACCTAGAATCACACAGACTGATGACCCCCAGCCTGGCTCACCATCGCTGGGAGCTTCAGAAATACACCCTGCTGTTAGCCCTTGCACTTCTGATACAACCCGAGAGTGTGGACTAGTCTAAAGCTCTTCACAGTACTTCACAGCAAGGCTGAGATCTACCAGCACACAAGAACATGAAGAAATCCTGCCCTTTCTCCTACTGAAGGCTGGATTTCTCAACCAGCAGGCGGCAACCAATTTTACACAGCTGTTTTCCTAACTGCTGTCTGTCAACAGGCAATTCAGTTTACACTGCCATCTAGTTACTTTCCATGCTTCATCCTTCTAAGTTCGGGATGATTATGAAGATAAAATATGACACAGATCTAAACCATTTTTGCCTAAACTTTTCTTTACATTTTATTGGGGTGGCAATGCAGGGCAGATGGAATTCAAGATTGTCTTTTTGCACCATCTAGTTATTCCTCAGACAATGTGGTACTCCTAGCAGCGAACCCCATTTTGTATTCCTGGATATGAGTTCAAAGACAACTTTGGCTGTCTCAAAACAATCAAAGATACACAGAGAATAAAGGGAATTTTGTTGTTTGAAGTAGAGTCTTGGGGTCTCTAGTAGCCCAGGTTGGTTTCAAACTGGTTTTTGAAGAGAATTTGGCCTGAATTCCTAATACTCCTGCCTCCACCTCCAAGGGCTGGGACTATCCTGCTAAGGGGATGTAATTAAGTTTGTCACTGGGCAGACTTTGGTGGCACACGCCTCCAAATCCCAGGCAGAGGTCGGTGGATCTCTGTTGTGTTCAAAGCCAGCCTGGTCTATAGAGCTAGTTCCAGGACAGGCTCCAAAGCTACAGAGAAACCCTGTCTCGAAAAACCAATAAATAAGTAAATAAGTACAGACTTTGGTCCTAGCGCTTGAGGCAGAGATTAAGATTGCTCGAGTCCAAAGCCAACCTGGTTTATGTTGTCCCAGGGCAGCCAGGGTTACAAACCTAGAGCCAGTCAAACACACCACCACCGTATTAAACAAGACATATATATTTTGGTTTTCAAGACAGGGCTTTGGTGAGTTTGGTGGAACTCACTCTGTAGACCAGACCAGCCTTGAACTCACAGAGATCCGCCTGCCTCTGCTTCCCAAGTGCTGGGTTAAAGGCGTGTGCCACCACTGCCCGGAGAGAGGACTAAATATCTGTCTTTATCTGGAGCTTCCTCTTCAGAGACAGAGATTGTACCCCGGACTTTGTATCTGCTAGGCAAGTGTGTGACTGAGCTTAACAGCTCCCAGCTGTGCGGGACAGGATGGTGATTTAAACAGACAGCTTTTCCTTTCTAACTATGTCTCTGGGGGCAACCTTATTAGTCGAGACCTAAACTGACGACTGGTCCTACCCAAGTCCTAAGAGCAAATCACCAGAAGACACCTCGCCATTCTCTAGTTATCCAGCAACTACTGTTTGTGCCCAGCTGTCCAGTCAGCAGATACTGTCCTCAGTTTGAGGTTAGTATCTCCAGCAACGACCCAACTAAAAAGACTAAAAGGTAAAGAGTGAGCAAAATCCAGGATTGTCTTAGGCACACACCTAGGGGGATTTGGAAGCTGATCAACCTTGGGCCCAAGAAAACCTGGAACAATGAAACAGACAACACTATAAACGACAAGTACCAGCAGCCCAATGCTGCCATCTGCTGGCCATGTACTGAACTACTTCAAAAAGTTGAAAAAGCTAATTTGGCAGCTAATTTTCTCATTAGGCGTATTAGAGTAGGTTCCAGAATAGATGTGGAAGACTTCAGGGAAGTAGGTGAAAGCTCACGAAAAATGTCCTCCTGTGGTGCTGACTATACTGCATGTTTTTAAGAAATCCAATAATCAAGCACCCATTTCTAGGTCTATGCCCAGACATTACTGGCTTTGCTGTTTGTTATATTTAAGACAGGGTTTCTCTGTGTAACCCTGGCTGTCCTGGAACTCAGGATACCAGGCTGGCTTTGAACTCAGAGATCTGACTGTCTCTGTCTCCCAAATGCTGGGATTAAAGGCATGTACCACCAATGACTGGATCCTACCAGATTTTTTAAACTTTAGTTGTCCTTGGACATTTGAAGCATTTTTCCTTTGACAACCCAGGTGTTAAAGTGTACCACCGTGGAACAGCTAGTACAAGG